GCAGTCGTTTACCAATTTAGAAAATTTTGTGGTTGAGCATGAAATAAACATTAAAGATGATCTTATTTTTAACATAAAACAGCATTGTCAAATGCTAATTGATAGTTTTAAAGAATATTTTGACGAAGACTATGATCAGTTTCTTTGGATACGACAACCATTTATTTTGGATAGCATTCCTGAATCATTAAAACAGGATGAAAAAGAATCTTTAATAGAACTATCTTGTGATGGAGGCTTGAAAATAGAGTTTTCTAAATTAGAATTAGCTGAATTCTGGCTAAATATTAAAAATGAATATCCAGCCTTATCAGAAAAAGCATTGTTATTTTTACTTCCTTTTACGACAACCTACCTGTGTGAAACTGGATTTTCTGCTATGCTACAACTGAAAAATAAATTTCGCAGTAGGCTTAATGTTGATCCAAATTTACGAATGAAACTAAGCACAATTTATCCTGATATCGATTCACTTGTTGTAGCTATGCAGAACCATCCTTCTCACTGAATTTTTAGATTGGGTCAGACTGTAAGTTTTATTTTGTAACATTTATAATGCCTTTTTTAAATATATACATTTTTGCCGAAATTAGTAAATTTTATTATCTACTTTTTTAATAGGTGGTACGCGATTGACGCAGAATTTATGTAAGTGGTACGTGTAAAAAAAAGTTTGAGAATCGCTGCTTTAAAGCTTAATAAATACACAATACTAGTTCAGTTAAAGGATAAAGTGTTTTTTATTGTAAATAAATGACATTTTCACAATTCGTTTAAAATTATGCCACATTTCAATACAATTCAGAAAAACATTACAAATTTTTCTTTAGTTTCATTAATTACTTTTTAGGAATTAAACCATAGTACTTACTTACATAGTAGTAAAAATAATAATTTATTTTAAACTTCGAGCCCTAACCAAAACCTTAATTCAGATAATAGCAAATACCACATTCTTAAAACCAGAAATCATTATTTTGCAGGTGTTTAGGTACATTTCCTAAGGTGTGAAAAATCTTGAACTAATAGTAAATAAATGAACGGTGGTTTAATTGAGATACCGTAGGTCACAAACCAGTTCTTATTCACAGAAGTGCTTTCACTGCGTACGACGTTGCCAGATTATTTAATTTTCTGAAAATAAAAATCTACGTATATGGAAAACAATGCAATTTTTTTTTAAACTGTTAACTTTAGAAAAAAATATTATAGGACTTTTTTGTTCTAAACTGTGTATTATATCCATACCTTAAAGGAACGCACTATTTTCGGGGACACCCTGTATACAGTGTGTCTGCGTAACTTGGAACCACCTGGGAAACTTTTTTATTATCGAATTTACGAAAAAAAAAATTCAATTAGAAGAATGTAGTTAGATATTATCACATAATTTTTAATTCTTCCAAGCAATTTTTCCTATTAACAATTTTCGATATTGTGAAATATAAAGATACTTTACCCTTCAGTAAAATTCATATTTTTTGACATACCTCGTATACTGTTAATAAAATTTGATATCTGATGATTGCGTCTGAGATTTTAGACTATGCAGAGCAGTTTATGAAGAATAACTTTTTTTAGTAAAATGGATAATAAAAAAGTTTGTCATATGGTTTCACTGTATATGTAGCATATTTAATTTTAAGTTATTACTGGTCACTATATACCAATTGTTTTACAGCTGATTTGTCAACAAATGCAGGCAAAGATTTGCTGAGAGTAAATATGGAAGTAGAAGAATCTGCTGAGGTAGATTTGTCGATAGAAAATACGGAAGTAGAAGAATCTGTTGAGGTAGAGAGACACTTGCAGACTGTGACACCACTTCCTTCTACATCTACTGCTGCTAATGTATTAAGTAAGTAAGCTTTGCTAAAGGATATATGTATATTGAAAATAGGATAAGTGACATTTGTTACAAAAATGGATTGATTTTAACAGGAAATTTTAACAAAAAAATTTTAACAGGAAAAAAGTAAAGTCATATCTATGTTTCCTTCTTACTTTTCCAAAATGTTCCCTATTTTTTTTTTATAAAAAAATTCAAGGTTAGTTAAAACTTTGCAAATTATTTATGAAAAAAGGGACAAACAGTTGAAAAGGAGACTTGCCACAATGAACATGATTTTTTTTTCGTTTCATAAATGTCAAAAATAATGCCAAAAGTGCATACGATGACTGCAAATATGAGCGTTTTAACAAATCACACATTCTCCTTAACCATTGATATCTTAAAAATAAATAATTGGTACAGAAAATTTGAATTAAACAAAAATTCAAAAAATATATTTATTAACATTCTTATTTATTTTAGGTTTAAAGAAACGAATAAACTTATTGGCCTACACGGAAGCATGAAGAACATCAGAACTTACCCCCAAAGCAAGAAAGCTGTATAGAATAGCCTCTAATTTGAGAAAATTTGCTAAAAGATTAAATTTTAAGTGTTTAAATCTAAGAGCAAAGGTTAAAAAAATGGAAAATATTACCTATTCCAAAGATTATTTAAAAGCAGCTTTAAATAAACCAACATACGATTTTATGATGTCCCAAATAAGATACCAAAATAAGCAACCTAAAGGAAGGATATATTCTCTTGACGAGAAAATCCTTTTTCTATCTTTTTTGAAACAAAGCCCGAAGGGTTACAAGTTATTCAAAAAATTATTTGCAGCTCCTTCAAGGAAGACCCTAATAAATCTTTTAAAGAAAATATCTTTTAATACTGGCATACATCCAGTTACTATGGAGTCATTATCGCACAAGGTACAGTCTATGTCTGAGAGTGATAATATGTGTAGCATCATTTTGGATGAAATGTCTTTGGATCCTACACTTCAATATAATGGAAATATTTTGTAGAGGGGTTTGGGTTGGTAGACCAAGACCAAGATAGCGACTAACGAATTAATATACAAAGAACTAGATCGTCTTAAGAAATCAGAATTATTGGAAATACTTATTCACAAAAAGGTTCCCGAAGGAATAAAAATTAGTGAAAGTGTCAAAAATGTTTTGGAGACCAGTGGATCTTCTTGTTCCGATGTGAAACTGTGCAATAGTGATTTGAGGTTAGAACTTACTCAACTACAGTGCAAGTTAAAGTGTGCCGAGATTGAGATTACTTACTTAAAATCGTTAAATACAGAGCTAGTAAAAGGTAATGAACGTCAAGATTTAATTATTTCTTTATTAAAAACGAATTCAAATAAAAATATTGAACATAAACAGACTACGGCCAACGTTGCCAATCCTACTAACGAGGGACTAAAACCACCTAAAAATTCAAATGCTGTAGCTAATAGTAGTAGTCGTAGTAAAAGTCAATCCACGTTTACTGTGGAAGCAGTACTTCCAGCTTCAGTTGATTTGGGAAGTAATGAGTGTCAAAAGGCCCAAGAAAGTATTATGTCATCTGTAATAAATTTTACGAAAGCAGCCACAAATGACGAAGCTCCATGGCAGAAAGTTCAAGACAGAAACAAAAAAAGAAGACAGTTAATTGTTGGAACTGGTGCTGGCTCTGTCAAAGGTGTTCCAAAATATGTGGATCTACATGTGTATCGCATTGATCCTAGCACCAATGTGACTGCAATGGAAAATCTTTTGAAACCCCATTTTCCGAAGTGCTTTGCGAGTCTATGGAGTCTCGCTACCAAAGTCTTTACTCATCATTTAAGGTCCGAATATATCAAAATAATTTCAATAAAGCTATGGATCCAGCACTCTGGCTTGAAAATGCATGTGTAAACAATTTTTTGTACCTACGGAAAAATCAGAGGTCCCAGAGGTAATGTTTAACCCTAAATTAATGTTACTAATGTTCAAAGTATAAATAACCATAAAATATGTGACATTGTTGTGGATATTAATACATTTAAAAATATAGAAATCTTATGTCTAACAGAATTATGGGAAACCATTGACTCTATTAATAATGTATACATTGATGGATTTACTATAAGTAGTAGTTATTGTAGAAACTCTTTAGTAAGAGGAGGTGGTGTAGGAATATTCGTAAACAGAAATGTAAGCGCTCATAATATTAATGTTAAAAAATTCTGTTCCAATAGACATTCAGAGTTTTGTTGTTCTTTAATTAGGGATAAAAACAATAATATCTTTTACATATTGAACTGCTACCGATCTCCGTGTGGAGATTTAAATATATTTTTAAATAATCTTGACTGTCTTTTAAATCATGTATACAAGCCAAATGCATGTTATATTATTTGTGGTGACTTTAATATTGATATGAAAACGTCAAACAGTAACTAAACAAAACTACTTAATTGCTTATCTGCTTATTAACAATTGATAATATCTTTATAAATTTTTCTAATTTGGGTACATCATGTATTCTTGACAACACTGTGTCCGATCATAGAACTGTTTTAGTTGAACTTGAAATCGATATATCGACCTTGCCTATGTCTTGTCAAAAGCGATATTTTTCTGAGAGTGGGATAGATAATTTTATTATGGGTCGTGTGATGGAAGATTGGAATCTTGTTTACGGTGTACTTGATACTAATTTGGCTTTTAATGTGTTTGTTGATATTTTTTCGTATTATTTTAACATTAATTTTCCATTGCAAAATAAACGTATTATAAATGATCGTAAAAAATGGGTGAACACCGAAGTACGCTTAAGGCTGATTTATAAACTTTACGTTGGCGTTGGCGCTGGCGCTGACGTTCGCGTTACAACATGGTCAAATGGGAAACTCATGTGTCAATTTATAAACATCGTTCGCCGTTGGCGTCGGCGTTCGGTTCCGTTCAAGATGAACCAACTTTATCTTTTGCCGTTGGCCGTTGTAGCAGAGAGTATACAAATCCTTCTGTGGTTGTAGTCACGATCACAGAACATAAAAAAACTGTATCTATTGTCATCGCAGCCGTGACAAAGTTTGTTTATGTTTGTGTTTCCACGTGTTTGGAAGAATTCAGATTTTTATATTTATTTATTATTTTATAATATAGTCGTATAGTTTAAAATGAAATCAAGCCAAAAGAGCAGTGGTAATGGTAAGAAATAATTTAAAAACAATTTTTCTTATATTTTAATTACTTTTATTTCAGCGGATATAGATATTGGAACGTCTATCGAAGTCATTCAAACATATGAGTATGTTTACAATCTTATGCATAAAGATTATAAGAATTCGAAAAAGAAAGATGCAGCGTGGGAGGTAATTGCGGAAACCGTGAACGCTAGTGGTAAGTAAAAATACAAATAGTTTTGTAAAATATCAATTTTTATTGTGGTTGTAGTGGAAGAGTGCCAGAAGCTATGGAAAAGCCTAAGGGACCGTTTTGTGAAAGAGAAAAATAAAATACATTCTGGAATGGAGGCACCAGAAAGTTCATGGCCACATTTTAACAGCATGCTATTTTATGGCAATTTTTCTAGGAAAAGAAAGTAAGTTACACTAATGGTTTTCCAAACATCAAATTCATTACCACTTAAAATATTAATTTAAATATTAACTAATTTTAATAATTGCTTTATAAAGAACATATACTGCAACAAAAGCAGTAGAAAAAAAAATCCGACATAGTGAAGAAGAGAGTGAACCTTCTTCTATTGGCTCGTATTCACCAATAGAAATCATTTATGAGGATGAGCAAGGAACCTCTCAAGATATGGATTCAGCCAGAAATTACGAAACCCCATCCACTTCAAAAGGCTTATTTACTCCAAAAGGTATGTTAGTCATTTTCTTTTTATGTTCAGTACTTTAGCTAGTGTTTTTTTTTATTTTTTGGCAGGATCAACAAAGGCATCAAAGCGGCATGATGCTGAAATTTCAAATTTGATAATGGCCGCTGAGAAAATTGTTAGTGGTATAGCTGCAGACAGATGTGAAAAAACATCTGTAAATAAAACCTTTTCACAGTATGTCTGTGCACGTTTAGACGCAATGAATGCTGAAGATGCTGCTGAAGCAAGAAAGCAGATATGTGCATATTTAGAGTAGCTTTTTAATGTTATTGGTTTATTTTATTGTTTTAGATTAGTTTAGTTTATTGTTTTGGTTATAGTTTACTATGTAAGGTATATAAGTTAGTTTATTAATATAAAATAAAATAGCACTTAAAATATTTTTTTATTTAATCATAAAATCACAACAAAAACATTAATAATAAATTTAAAAAATAACTTCTTCTAATTCTGATGAAAAAAAGAAGAGTGCACATAGAAGAAAAAAGAAAACAAACAAATAGAGAAATGCAAGAAAACTCTCACAAATCAGAAATAACAAAATTCTATCAAAAAGTAAACAAAATGCCAAGTTCATAGCTCGACTATATATAGACATAATGATTTAATAATAATTATAATCGACCATGAAGACATGGGGATAATTTTCAGAGAACATTTAAATAAGGCCAATAACAAGGCGATAATAATTCAACATCAAGATGCTTACCAATGAAAAATCACTAGGGTCAGACATCAGTTAATTAAGCAGGGTTGAATATATTTTTGAAACAGGCATTTTGTATAAATTAAGTTTTATCCAAAATGTTTACTGAAATATGTATTCAAACACAAATAACAGATCAATTGTGTGTTGAGTTGCAGTCCCCATATTAAAATGGGAGACCCAATAGAATACGACTTATTTGTACATTACTATTATTAAGACAAACCTTGGGACAAGTGTCATGAATTTAATGTTAAAATCATCAACTGATAGATTTCTGTATGCAAATGACAGTATAATTAGTGACATGCTATATAGAGCAAATATATATATACCAAATAAATTGGTAGAAGTAGCAAAGGTTAAATACAGAGTTTAGGGTGAAAATTCTAAAGATTCTCAATACACACAGATCTCTTACAAGCTGCTGAAAAAAGACCCTAATGTGGTAAAGCTTGGCAGACTGAGATGGGTAGGTCATATGAAGTGCATAGAACCTTCTGTACCAGCACGAATCCTAATTAGACAAGGGTGATAAAGTGACCCAAGGGGGCCAAAACATGATATATTTTATTTATTATTAAAGATATCACCTACTTATATACAAAATGATACATTAAATAAAAATATATATGAACAATAAATAAAATACATAGTACATGTAACAAACAGAAAAATAGTAAATTACAATAGTTGCTTTACACACTTTGTTTACAAACATTACAACTCTGAGGCATGAAGTAATAAATCAAGGCCTATTTTATTACCATTTAGAATCATTCTCTTCGTTGGAGAATGTTTACCAAAATCTACATCTGTTTACATCTATGGAAATTTACTGTAAAATTTTGAAATGACCAAGTAAATCTGAGAGGGGCATTAAAACATAAAAACAATAGATTATTGCAGCCAATCTTGGAACTGAGTAAAGGTTGAATGTTTCTGAAGAGTATGAACATTCACCTAAAGGCTTGTGAAGTTGAAATTTAAATATTTAATAAATACATTTTGGAGTCTCTGAAGATTGGTAATATTGTTGATTGAATATCCAAATTATCGGATATTCAATTAACAGTATAATATATATATATATATATATATATATATATATATATATATATATATATATATATATATATATATATATATGAGCAATTCCAATACTTTTCACCCACTTTTGTGGGAGGTGTCTTCAGATTTGCTCCAAATTATAGTATGTTATTATACCTTATGAAATAAGACTACAGTTCAAATTTCGGCCCTCTAGGTACACTAGGGCTCGAGAAATCCCTTCTCAAAAGCCCAAAAAGGCCCTTTTTAGCCTATATTCAAAAAGCTATATCCCGATGTCCTATAAACCGATTTTAATTTAGAATAGCTCATTTTTTTTTGTTATAACGTCAGCTATTTCAAAAACAATTTTCAAAATCCTAGATCCCAAGATCCATTGTCGGGGACTAAATTAGTGCGGACGAAATTTAGAGATTTTGGTTATTTTAAAAAAATCATAAATAACGTATGGGTAATTAGAACTACTTTTCATATATCTTATTTGAAAGGTATTTTTATTACCTTTAAAATGTCACAAAGCAACAATACAAATGTCATTAACAACAATTAAACATCATTTTTATTGATAGTAATATTAAAAGTACAATTAGTTAATGAGGCATTTTCAAAATTGAAATCGTGCAAAAATGTTCCCGACTCTTGATACGCCTTGGTAATTGTTGATGATACTGATGGTCGAGAACAACTTTCAGCAATCATTCCCGATATTGGCGAATCATGAGGGTTTAAAATTTTTTGAGCATTATCATTCTTATTTCTTATCGAATCCTCTATATATCCTTGGGCAACCGTGCTTGATTTCCAGCCCCCATGTCGTTTGAGGCATTTTAGATTTCCGCCTCCATCAATTAAAAGTGTTGCTGAAGTTGGTCGTAAAGAGAGATCCGTGAATGCGCTTGCATCGTTTAAATTTAAATAACTAGCTACTTTTTGGGCTACTGCGCTGATCGAATGTATTCCCATGAAGCTTCGGTAACACTTTCCATTTTGGTACTTGATAAGAAATCGGGTTTCTGTGAAATTTTCAGGCCACAGTGATGCATACTTTTTATACAGTTTAATGTAGTTTTGACCAATTATCGTAAAAGATCTATTTTGTCGTGTTTTACTGTCTGGCATTTTGATAATTATTACATTTTCTTTATCCTCAATGTCCACAGTCTTCATTTTTACCATTTCGTCGCATCGACTGGCGCCGGTAACCCCAATTAACAAAACAATCTGAAATATTTTTATAATTTAGTAGAGTATACTACATGCTTTGCAATATAATTTTTTTTACCTTTAATCCTAAATACAACTTATCTGGCGCTTTAAACAAAAATTTATCAAACTCGTCTTTAGTGAAAACTTTAGACTTCTTTGCAGTATATCCTTCGCTTGTTTTTTTCAGAAAGGCACGCAACTTTAAAAATTTGCTTATATACACATTTTTTCTAATAACCAACTCGGAATTTATCATAGAGTATCGTGACCAAATTGTAGAAGATTTCCATTTATTTTTATTTTCCATTATATTAAAATGTGCCAGTAAAACGTCTTCGGTAACTTGCCGTACTCCTCTTGTATCGCACCACTCTTGGAAGTGCTTGTACTGTTGACTTCTGTTTTATGTATTTAAGACCTTCCAGACTACATAAAATCATAAGTGTTACATATGGTTGAACTCATATTAGTAGATAGGGATGCACTTGAGGACACTTTTCATCCCCAGATCTAGGGAAAAACCGTTCGCGCCTTATGGAGAATAGGCCAAATTTCCCCAGACCCCTGTCCCAGATTTCCCCAGATTTCGGGTACGTGACCGCGACGTGAAGGTAGCGTCAATTCTTCTTCTTTTTCGTGACGTCAATTCTTCTTCTTTTTCGTGACGTCAATTCTTCTTCTTTTCGCAACGTGAATATAGCGTATAGGCTTCTTTTACGTGATGGCAATTCTTCTTCTTCTTTTACGTTAATATAGCGTCTGTCAATTACAAAACCTACGCAATTGGAGGAAACTGGGGGAAGTCTATGTTCAAAATCAAAGAAAATAATAAAAATACAAGGAAAACTAGCAAGAAAACAACAACAATCAACAGGAAATAAAAAATAAAAATACAAGTTATATACGAAACCTAAGATAGAGACCAAGATACGAATACATAATGGAGGATCGCAAAGAATTATTTTAAAAATTAAAAATATAACATACTATGGAATGCAAAATACTGCAATAAATGTTAAATAATTCGAGTCTTTTCAATAAATGAATACATAAAGTATAAAAATAAGCCATTATATTAAGAAAGAGACCAAGAAACGAATACATAAAGTATAAAAATAAGCCAATATATTAAGAAAGAGACCAAGAAACGAATACATAAAGTATAAAAATACAAGTTATAAGCAATTATATTAAGAAAGAAAGAGACCAAGAAACGAATACATAAAGTATAAAAATAAAATAAGCAATTATATTAAGAAAGAGACCAAGAAACGAATACATAAAGTATAAAAATACAAGTTATAAGCAATTATATTAAGAAAGAAAGAGACCAAGAAACGAATACATAAAGTATAAAAATAAAATAAGCAATTATATTAAGAAAGAGACCAGAAGAATATAAAGTATAAAAATACAAGTTATAAGCCCTTATATTAAGAAAGAGACCAAGAAACGAATACATAAAGTATAAAAAATAAAATAAAAAATACAAGTTATAAGCTATTATATTAAAATGCAAAATGTTGCAATAACAGGTAAAATTAATCATACCTGATAGGTGCAATCTCTGGAAAAATGAGAAAAATATAACATACTATGGAATGCAAATACTATATAGATATTTTCTCATTTTTCTCAGAGTATCATCATCATCAATTAGACGCATTATAAAAAAAAAGGTGGCAAAACCGCAAACATAAGCAGCATGATATATAAATAGGGAACAATATTATTAATTTGAATAGTTGCTAACAATGAAACCAATTAAATCTATAGTGTTTTTGGCAGGTGAGAAAGGACCATTCAGTCATATCTTCAATTTTTAAATTTAGATTTTTTAGTTTTACAGGTGATGGCTAACTTTATGTTAGCTATGCAGCTAATACTAACACGTAAGTAAATAGTAAAAACAGAAACTATAATACGTATATCAATATTTTTTTTTCAGAGGAACAAGGCATATATTGTAAGTATTAGCTATAAGCAGTCTTAATATAACCTACTTATATATATTCATTTTTAGATGAACACCTAAGTGAGTTTACTCTAATAATGTAGATCATTTATTAAGAAAATCATTACTTTTTTCAGTGAACAAGGGTGAGATAAGGCCCGTAGGTAAGTAATACAATTACCGTTTATTATTATTTTTAGTAATAATTTTTGTTTTATAGTGGCGGCGTTAATGGCATGTAAGTATAAATAAAACGGAAAAAAAGAGAAGATATTTATTTATTCAATGCTTTTTAGATGTGGAGTCGTTAATAAGTAAG